AATTAACTCTATCCCTGCCGAAACCAGGACACACACAAACAAGGGCTCCATCCCCTCTGCACAGGCTCCTCTAACTGGTGAACTCACTAATTCATCACTTGGGTCATGAGGGTCTCACCTGCGAGTTCTCTAATTCATAACTCGTAACTCGTAACTCGTAACTCCTGCTCCTAGGAGGTGGGTCTATCCCTGCCGAAACCAGGACACACACAAACAAGGGCTCCATCCCCTCTGCACAGGCTCCTCTAACTGGTGAACTCACTAATTCATCACTTGGGTCATGAGGGTCTCACCTGCGAGTTCTCTAATTCATAACTCGTAACTCGTAACTCGTAACTCCTGCTCCTAGGAGGTGGGAAAGGGTGAGGGCGCTCATCCCTCCTCCTCCTCCTCCGGCGCCGGCGTCTCCTGCGTCGTACCAGGAAGCAGGAGACCCTCAGCAGTCCGGCTGCTGCTGGATCCCCTTCCAACGCTTTTCGGGTGAGCTGACGTGTTCATACCTTCCAGCCTGGATGGTTGGTCTGCAGCGCTGCACAGAGATAGCGGGTTGTGCAGAAACTGCTGGACAATCGATATGGAAGGATGCTGGCTGCAGAAGAGCCCTCAGGGAACCCTTCAGGGGATTCTTCAGGGGACCCTCTGGGCAACCCTTCAGGTGGCCCTTCAGGGGAACTCTCCAGAGGACTCTCCAGAGGGGTCTCCTTTGGAATCTCCTCTGAACTCTCTACGGGACTCTCTATAGGCCTCTCCTTTGAAGTCTCCGCAGGACTCTCCTGAAAAGGCTCCGTGGGACCCTCTGGCAGCCAGGTGAGGAGGACCGCCGCCACCCCGCCCTGCTCCCTCTTGGGGTCTGGCAAGGGGGACGTCACCACCGCCCCCCAGGAGGGGTCGGCATCCCCCAGCATCGCTGCTGCCACTCGGTCCTCGGGGCAGTCGCTCTCTACCCCGTACTCCGAGAAGTTGGAGAGCTGGTTGAAGAAGGCAGTGCTGTCAGGGATGCCGGGGACATCGGGGACATCGGGGATGGTGTCCTTGCCATCCGCGGTGTTGAGCCAGGTGAGCATACTGTGGACATTGGTGACGTCCATGGTGAATGACTGCTGGTCCCGCACCTGCATGTTGTCCCCCGCCAGCTCAGGAAAGCCTCCGCCGGCTTCGGGGCGCTGCTGGGCAGGATGTGGAGCACAGGGGGACCCTGCACCCAGTGCGGAGCTGTGGGGCAGCAGGGGGCCGGGGCAGTGACGGTCATGCCAGGCACTTCCAATGGTTTGATTTTTCATCTCACAACAACTTCCTATAGAGGAGAGGAGAGGAGAAGGGAAGGGAA